AACCTAGGGTCATTCAACCGTACATGGAAGTTCAATGACATAAGGTTCAGCGCTTAGAACCTCTTTTCAATAAATGTTTATTTATTCATTTTCGATATATGACACTCCAGTCGCCTCTTGACGATGATGTTTTCAAGTTGTTATATGTCTTCAATTATTTGCTCGGTCGCATTTTGCTTTAAGGAATTGTACCACCACCTAATCACAGTCTGTAGCAAAATATCGTCTTAAAAAACTGGTTATACAAGGATATTGCAATTCTTTTACGGCTGTGACCAGATTATTAGCATTGTGCCTGTTATGTTCGAACGGGAATGGGAACAAAGCGATCCATTGGCTTCCTGAAAGAAGAAAGCTCCGTAATGGGGGTAAAGTTCACGAATAGGCCATCAACTACCAGACCAAAGTCGGCCAAGTTATAATTTGAGAGTGGAAGGACAAGAGAGAATGCGGGTGGAGTGATACAGTCTGTTTCGGGTTTATTCTGTCTATATTTAGCCAATCATGGCCATGAATACCAGCTGTGGCTGGTAGTACAATCATCCGCTCGAGTACGACGCAGAAATTTCACACAATGTTTAGAGTCGATGGGTCATAAGCACTTCATTGAACCGAGGTTCATCAAGGCCTCGCCACCTGTTATTCTCGGCCATTGCAGATTGCGTGGCGAGGCACTTGTCAGCCGTTCAGGTTATAATTGCAAATACGAGGGACTACCGAATATACCGGTAGATTGATAAATTCTCTTTCGGGCTTCTTATGCCCTCACTCGGTCAACCGTAAACCTGGAAATACAAGCATGCGCTCGAGTAAGATGCAGATATATCACGCACTGGGTCAAAAGCACTTCACAGAACCGGAGTTCATCAAGGCCTCGCCGCCTGTCATTCTCTGTCGCTGCGGATCTCGTGGCAAGGCGCTCATCAAGTTCGCTTCTACGAATTACTTATGATCTACCTGTTAGACCCAGTGTGCGTGAAATATCTAGGCCATACTTGAGCGCATGTTAAAGTTTTCGGTCCCAGCTGGTCGTCAGAGCCATGGTTGGCTGAATGAAGGCCTAATAAGTCCGAAACAGACTATATCAGTCTACACGCCTTTCCTGTCGTCCATCCTCTCTACCTCTATATTCAGAACTTAAAATCAGACTCGTCTCCATAGCGGATGTGGATATCATGTAAACCTTTAGATTTTTAGTAATCTACGAACTTTTCCCTTACTTTATCCCCTGCTCTAATCGAATGGAACGAGTTTTGCTGAAACCTTTGGATATTCACCTTCGAAATGCATCATTTCTCTCTTTATATATATGCAGAAGGACATTACCGACAAAGACGTGGAACACTGGAATGGCCATTTCTGCCTCATTAGGCATCATCAACTAGTGATACCCAACTCCGGTGTTGCCACTGAAATTGCTGCCACACCCGAGTTTTGAACTCGCGATCTCTCCGGTCAGGGCGAACGTCCTAACCATTGAGCTACGAGCTCACAGTCTTGATGGTATTAGATCGGGGACATACAGTAGCAGATACGCGTATACCGATCTGTTAGTTGACACACTCTTCCGTCCACTGCGAGGCGGCTAATATATAGGCAGAAGTGTTGTAACAGAAGCCCAGGCCGAGATATCACCGCCAATAACGCCTTGT